GCCTTGAAGGAATCTGAGAGGAGTAAGAGTCTAAATGTTAAGGAGTACAGTGGGGCAAAAAAGTATTTAGTCCGCCACCAATTGTACAAGTTCTCCCACTTACAAAGATGAGAGAGGCCTGTAATTGGCATCATAGGGAGACCTCAACTATGAGAGACAAAATGAGAAAACAAATCCAGACAATCACATTGGCTGATCTGGAAAGAACTTATTTGCAAATTATGGTGGAAAATAAGTATTTGGTGAATATGAAAAGTTCATGTCAATACTTTGTTATATATCCTTTGTTGGCAATGACAGAGGTCAGACGTTTCCTGGAAGTCTTCACAAGGTTGGCACACACTGTTGCTGGTATGTTGGCCCATCCTCCATGCAGATCTCCTCTAGAGCAGTGATGTTTTGGGGCTGTCGCTGGGCAACATGGACTTTCAACTCCCTCCAAAGGTTTTCTATGGGGTTGAGATCTGGAGACTGGCTAGGCCACTCCAGGACCTTGAAATGCTTCTTACGAAGCCACTCCTTCGTTGCCCGGGCGGTATGATTGGGATCATTGTCATGTTGGAAGACCCAGCCATGTTTCATCTTCAATGCCCTTGCTGATGGAAGGAGGTTTGCACTCAAAATCTCACGATACATGGCCCCATACATTCTGCCCTATACATGGATCAGTCGTCCTGGTCCCTTTGCGGAGAAACAGCCCCAAAGCATGATGTTGCCACCCCCCATGCTTCACAGTAGGTATGGTGTTCTCTGGATGCACCTCCGCATTCTCTCTCCTCCAAACACGACGAATTGTGTTTCTACCAAACAGTTCTATTTTGGTTTCATCTGACCATATGACATTCTCCCAATCCTCTTCTGGATCATCCAAATTCTCTCTAGCAAACTTCAGACGGGCCCGGACATGTACTGGCTTAAGCAGGGGGACACGTCTGGCATTGCAGGATCTGAGTCCCTGGCGGCGTAGTGTGTTACTGATGGTAGCCTTTGTTACGTTGGTCCCAGGTCTCTGCAGGTCATTCACTAGGTCCCCCCGTGTGGTCCTGGGATTTTTGCTCACCGTTCTTGTGATCATTTTGACCCCACGGGGTGAGATCTTGCATGGAGCCCCAGATCGAGGGAGATTATCAGTGGTCTTGTATGTCTTCCATTTTCTAATTATTGCTCTCACAGTTGATTTGTTCACACCAAGCTGCTTGCCTATTGCAGATTCAGTCTTCCCAGCCTGGTGCAGGTCTACAATTTTGTTTCTGGTGTCCTTCGACAGCTCTTTAGTCTTCACCATAGTGGAGTTTGGAGTGTGACTGTTTGAGGTTGTGGACAGGTGTCTTTTATACTGATAACACGTTCAAACAGGTGCCATTGATACAGGTAATGAGTGCAGGACAGAGGAGCCTCTTAAAGAAGAAGGTACAGGTCTGTGAGAGCCAGAAATCTTGCTTGTTTGTAGGTGACCAAATACTTATTTTCCACCATAATTTGCAAATAAATTCTTTCCAGATCAGCCAATGTGATTGTCTGGATTTGTTTTCTCATTTTGTCTCTCATAGTTGAGGTCTCCCTATGATGCCAATTACAGGCCTCTCTCATCTTTGTAAGTGGGAGAACTTGCACCATTGGTGGTGACTAAATACTTTTTTGCCCCACTGTATATATGACATCTGTCCCTGTGGTGGAAAAAGTACCCTTAAGGATCAATTGAGGTGATCCTAAAAGCGTTGGACCCTAGGGTCAAGGTTTGGAGGTGAGGGGGCATTTCTGTTGATTTGAGGAGATGGCACCAGAGTGAAGATCACCCGTTCACTGCATCACTTGTATAATTTTTTTGTTTTGAAGAATCACGACCATAAGTTCATTGGACTGTGTGGGAAGAATTTTGTGTTATTTATGTATATATTTTGGGTAATCTGTCTCTTTTAGGAGGCCTTGAATATTACCGTATTTTTCGCCCCATAAGACGCACTTTTTTCCCCCAAAAAAGGGGGGAAAATGTCAGTGCGTCTTATGGAGCGAATATGGAGCGGCCGGTCCGGTATTTCCACTGCCGCCGTGTCAGAATACCGGGCCGGCCGCTCAGCTCTACAGCGGGACCTTATAGAGATGACTGCTGACCTTTGGGGAGGGGGGGGAGCGGGTACCTGAATTTGACAGATACCCGCTCCCACTTCCGTGGAGTTGTTCTTTCACCTTACCCGTTCCTCTATCCAGCGGCGCGGTCTTCCCGGCTTCTGTAGTGTGGGCATGACAGCCGGGTGCCAAGTGCGCATGCGCAGGAAGCGGTGCTTTTTTGAATGGTAAGGCGGCACCTGGGACACATGACAGATCCCAGAAGCCGCCGGACCAATCACAAAGCGCAAGTCCTTCTCGCTCATGCGCACTGGGCACCCGGCTGTCATGCCGAGCGCCATTACAGAAGCCGGGAAGACAGCGCGCGGCTGGATAGAGGAACAGGTAAGATGAAAGAACAACTCCGCGGAAGTGGGAGCGGGTACCTGTCAAATTCAGGTACCCGCTCCCCCCCCTCCCCAAAGGTCAGCAATCATCCCCTGTACTATCCACAGTCTCTGGTCATCTCCTGTACTGTGTCCGCAGTCTCTGGTCATCCCTGTGCTGTCCGCAGTCTTTGGTCATCCCTGTACTGTGTCCGCAGTCTCTGGTCATCCCCTGTACTGTGTCCGCAGTCTCTGGTCATCTCCTGTACTGTGTCCGCAGTCTCTGGTCATCCCTGTACTGTGTCCGCAGTCTCTGGTCATCCCTGTACTGTGTCCGCAGTCTCTGGTCATCCCCTGAACTGTGTCCGCAGTCTCTGGTCATCCCCTGAACTGTGTCCGCAGTCTCTGGTCATCTCCTGTACTATGTCTGCAGTCTCTGGTCATCTCCTGTACTGTGTCCGCAGTCTCTGGTTATCCCCTGAATTGTGTCTGCAGTCTCTGGTCACCTCCTGTACTGTGTCCACAGTCTCTGGTCATCCCCTGTACTGTGTCCGCAGTCTCTGGTCATCTCCTGTACTATGTCTGCAGTCTCTGGTCATCCCCTGTACTGTGTCCGCAGTATCTGGTCATCTCCTGTACTATGTCTGCAGTCTCTGGTCATCCCCTGTACTGTGTCCGCAGTCTCTGGTCATCTCCTGTACTGTGTCCGCAGTCTCTGGTCATCCCCTGAACTGTGTCCGCAGTCTCTGGTCATCCCCTGTACTGTGTCCGCAGTCTCTGGTCATCTCCTGTACTGTGTCCACAGTCTCTGACCATCTCCTGTACTGTGTCCGCAGTCTCTGGTCATCCCCTGTACTGTGTCCGCAGTCTCTGGTCATCTCCTGTACTGTGTCCACAGTCTCTGGTCATCCCCTGTACTGTGTCCGCAGTCTCTGGTCATCCCCTGTACTGTGTCCGCAGTCCCTGGTCATCTCCTGTACTGTGTCCGCAGTCCATTAGTTCAGAATTTTTTTTTCCTGTTTTCTGCCTCTAAAACCTAGGTGCGTCTTATGGAGCGAAAAATACGGTATTTATATGTTTATAAGGCACAGAAAAAAGAAAAAAAAAAAGTTATAATCCTACACCCACAGTTGATCCAGAGGAAGGCAAAAAACCCCCCCAGCAAAGCACGATCCAATTTGCACCTTCTGGGAAAAACATTCCTTCCTGATCCCCCGAGAGGCAATCGGATATTCCCTGGATCACCTTCCCCTATAAATGTTATATCCAATTATATTCTGTGTATCCAAGAAAGAATCCAGGACTTTCCTACAGCAATCCACTGAGCTGGCCACAACCAACTCTTGAGGGAGCCTATTCCACATTCTCACAGCTCTCACTGTGAAGAAACCTTTCCGTGTTTGGAGCAGGGGCGGACTGACCATTGGGGAGCTCGGGCAGTGCCCAAGGGCCCAGGGTCAGTAGGGGGCCCCATGAGATATCCCTGGTACCTTTCATAGGCTTTTTTGGGTGTGGTTTGAGTGTCGGCGAGGACACAAGGGCCCCATGATCTGCTATTGCCTGGAGGCCCCATGAGTTGTCTGTCCGCCCCTGGTTTAGAGAATAAATTTCTTTTCTGCCAGACGTAAAGAATGCCCTCTTGTCCTTTGTAAGGACCAAGTCAAGGATCACACATATAAGGTTGCTCTGATTTGGCCCTTTTCCTGGATCCAGGATCAGCTGTGACCGAAGGATACCGCAATCACAGACCATGCCCGGTGCTCACCCTAGGGGCGCGCGCGGTTCTGGGAGGATGTCCATGGATGCCATCTGGACAGTGCTGATTGGCCCTGTGCTGATCACATGCACACTCCCAAGAGGAAAAAAAAAAACCTCTTTAGCAATACACACCAAATTGAGCATGTGCAGAGTGATCCTTGACTGACAGATCTAGACTTCTGCACAAAGATCAGCGTGATACAGTACAGACATATTACTCCACTTTTATTGAGAAAAAACATTCCCCTTTGGGTGATCCATGTACATTGCAGGGACTTTACCACACTTTGTTGCAGAGTACATTATGGCACCAACCCTGTCACATACACCTGTATTTGTACGGGGTGTATGTGATGGGATTGGCGCGATGATGTCATCACGTCGGGTACTCGTATGTGGGCGTATCTGCATGTGGGCGGACCCGCCTGGAGACGGATAGAGGAGCGGTGTCTCGGTTCCTAGGACCATCGGAAATATGTGTTTTCCAATGGTCTTAGGTGACCCCTTGTGAAAGGGTCGTTAGACCCCCAAAGGGGCCGCGACCCACAGGTTGAGAACCGCTGCTCTAGACGTAATATACCTTTGAGAGTATCTATCCGAAAATGACATTTTTGTTGCAGGGGATGCCCAACATCTGACTTAGATCTTAGTACAGACGTCTGGGAAAATCAGTGAGCTAATCACGCATTTCTGGGGGGGGGGGGGGGGGTCCCGTAAACTAGGTTTAATAACATTTAATTACAATAGGACTTGTGTAAAAATTGTATATTCTAGAATCATTTTTTTATTTTCTTAAGAAGATGGAGTTACCCTTTAAGTCTTGTTTCTTCTCACCTGGAATACTTTGACGCCGGGACACCAAAGCAACATCATTGCCCGTCGGATCTTTGCCGCCTTTCGAATACGGGCCGTCATCTAGAAGAGAGAGAGAACAATAAAGGACTAAGGACTAGAAAAATAATAGGTTGGCAATCTGACTCAGGTCATCTTTATAAAAGAAAACGCTGTTTTTTTCATGTTCATATAAATACAATGTGCGTAGGATACAAAACAGATATGTGACCACCGCGTGTTCATGGTTTGTAGACTTTGTCTCTGTTGACAAGGATGTAACTATTTATAGAGTACATATACACATTGGCCTAGTTTTGCAACATAGTGGCTGTGCTTTACTGCTCCTCGTGTTCCATTACCCAGTCTATAGCAAGCTGTAGATGGGTTAGCTTTTTTTTGTTTTGTTCAATCAGTGGGCTGAACAAAAACGTGACCCGATTCCTTCATCCAAAAATTTGAGGTGGACGGGGAATCCTCCTGCTGAGCTACTGCTGGCACCTTCTGGCCCTTTAACCACTTGAGCTCCTGAGGATTTACCCCCCTTAATGACCACGCCTTTTTTGCTGTTTGGCGCTGCACTAATTCAACTGATAATTGCGCGGTCATGCAATGCTGCACCCAAACGAAATTTACGTCCTTTTTTTTCACACAAATAGAGCTTTCTTTTGATGGTATTTTATCATCTGTGCGCTTTTTATTTTTTGCGCTATAAACAAAAAAAAACACGAAAATTTTGAAAAAAAATATTTTCTACTTTCAGCTAGAAAAAATATATCGTAAACTCAAAGTTAGTCATAAATTTAAGCCAAAATGTATTCTGCTCCATGTTTTTGGTAAAAAAAATCCCAATAAGTGTATATTGATTGCTTTTTGTGAACGTTTATAGCGTCTACAAACTATGGTATAGATACTGCAATTTACGCCTCTTTTTGCTATACAGCGCTGCACTAATTCAACTGATAATTGCGCGGTCATGCAATGCTGCACCCAAACGAAATTTACATCCTTTTTTTCACACAAATAGAGCTTTCTTTTGGTGATATTTTATCACCTGTGCGCTTTTTATTTTTTGCGCTATAAACAAAATAAACACAAAAATTTTGAAAAAAAAAAAAACTATATTTTCTACTTTCAGCTATAAAAAATATATCGTAAACTGAAAGTTAATCAAAAATTTAAGCCAAAATGTATTCTGCTCCATGTTTTTGGTAAAAAAAATCCTGTGCATTAGCGGGCAAACTGGCGCTATATGGGAGGGGCGCTAACACTATCGGAAGTCACCAGTGACACTAATACAGTGATCAGTAAAAATCTGTTCACTGTAATCAATGACACTGGTGACAGGGCAGTGAAGGGGTTAACTGGGGGTGGGTGGGGGGCGATCAAGAGGTTAAATGGGATTACTGGTGTACTGGCGGGCAAACTGGCGCTATCTGGGAGGGGCGCTAACACTATTGGAAGTCGCCAGCAACACTGATACAGTGATCAGTAAAAAAGCTGTTCACTGATCAATGACACTGGTGACAGGGCAGTGAAGGGGTTAACTCGGGGGGGGGGGGGGGCGATCAAGGGGTTAGATGGGATTACTGGTGTATTAGCGGGAAATCTGGCGCTATCTGGGAGGGGCGCTAACACTATCGGAAGTCGCCAGCAACACTGATACAGTGATCAGTAAAAATCAATTCACTTATCAGTGACTGGTGACAGGGCAGTGAAGGGGTTAACTGGGGGGGGGGGGGCGATCAAGTGGTTAAACGGGATTACTGGTGTATTAGCGGGAAATCTGGCGCTATCTGGGAGGGGCGCTAACACTATCGGAAGTCGCCAGCAACACTGATACAGTGATCAGTAAAAATCAATTCACTTATCAGTGACTGGTGACAGGGCAGTGAAGGGGTTAACTGGGGGGGGGGCGATCAAGTGGTTAAACGGGATTACTGGTGTATTAGCGGGAAATCTGGCGCTATCTGGGAGGGGCGCTAACACTATCGGAAGTCGCCAGCAACACTGATACAGTGATCAGTAAAAATCAATTCACTGATCAGTGACTGGTGACAGGGCAGTGAAGGGGTTAACCGGGGGGGGGCGATCAAGTGGTTAAACGGGATTACTGGTGTATTAGCGGGAAATCTGGCGCTATCTGGGAGGGGAGCTAACACTATCGGAAGTCGCCAGCAACACTGATACAGTGATCAGTAAAAATCAATTCACTGATCAGTGACTGGTGACAGGGCAGTGAAGGGGTTAACCGGGGGGGGGGCGATCAAGGGGTTAAACGGGATTACTGGTGTACTGGCGGCAATTTGGCGCTATCTGGGAGGGGCGCTAACACTATCAGAAGTCGCCAGCGACACTGATACAGTGATCAGTAAAAATCGGTTCACTGATCAGTGACACTGGTGACAGGGCAGTGAAGGGGTTAACTGGGGGGGGGGGGGGAGGGGTGATCAGTGGGGGTTAAATGTGACCTAGGTGTGTTCTAACTGTAGTGTAGTGCTGTTTTACTCACTTTTACGGTTTCTTCTTCTCTGGAACGGAATGTGTCCAGGCAGAGAAGAATGGCATCATATCCTGTCCTGTGTAACTGTCAACACAGGACAGGATAGGACAGGGACCGATCATCTGATTTCAACCAGACATCACTGGCTGAAATCTAATGATTGATCCCTCCGGGATCGAATGGTGTCAACCGCGGGTCGGCGTGCGCCTCCCCCTGCCGGCGAAAACGTTGGGAGCGCGGAGCCCGTTTTAAAACGTGGTTTTGCGCCCCAGTGCCGCCCTGCACACGTATATATACAGTGGCAGGGCGGCAAGTGGTTAAGAGGTTCCAGATGCCAGAAGGCTGCGGCGGGCATTTTGGTCATGTGACTGCCGTGATTGGCTGATACCCAGTGGTAACTGTGGCACAGCATGGTTTACATTTTGGTATATATGTGGCCCTCCCGGCGTTAAGGTCTACCCATCCAGGTCTACCCAAGTAATTAATACAGCTAAAGTCTAAACAAATACCAACTCCAGTTACTATGAGATATGAAAGCCCCATAAAGTACACATAAAACCTCCTTTACCTCCCCTGACTGATCCAAAACCTCCTCCATTTGTCCTACACGCTCCCCCTCCCAGACACTGCAGCTCACAGTGGGAGGGATTCAGCATCAGAGGCAGAGCTGCCAATCCAGAAAGTGGGCGGGACTAGGTGTGCCCAGGTCCTGTTTGAGAAGCTACAGGCTAATCAGCAGTGACAATGGTGATAAACCCCACCCCCAACCCTCAAGACTTTTTTCAATCCGCTGTAGTGCAAGCAGACACATGCTACATGAGAGTGACAACTCTCCCTTGAATTCAGCAGCAGTGCAGCATCGTTGTCACCAAGTCACAGGAAACTGCATTACGTGGACTTCACTGGCAGGATCAACAGGTACTTGTGGGACTAAGGCCGGCCATACATGAGTCGAAATTCGACTGATTTTTTGTCCAGAAATCGGACCTAAGAATAATCGGCCGATTTCTGCTCTGTCAGTGGGTCAATGGCACTGGGCGATTTTTGTGGTTCCTCCCCTTTTCAGTGATCGGGCATGTTGGAAAATTCGTGAAAAACTACCAATTTTTGACTCAGTGATGGTCAAATCGTACGATCATTTTTCCGAAAAGAATATGCGCCTGAGTCGTGATCTGGAAGGAACAGAAGTTTCGCCTGTTATATGGGGTGACAATTCTCCCTTGAGTTCAGCAGAAGACACATGCTTCATGCGAGTGACAACTCTCCCTTGAATTCAGCAGCAGTGTCAGCATCGTTGTCACCAAGTCACAGGAAACTGCATTAGGAACAGAAGTTTTGCCTTTTATATGGGGTGACAACTCTCCCTTGAATTCGGCAGCAGTGAAGCATCGTTGTCATTAAGTCCCAGGAAACTGCATTAAGTGGACTTCACTGGCAGGATCAACAGGTACTTGTGGGACTAAGGCCGGCCATACATGAGTCGAAATTCGACTGATTTTTTGCCCGAAAATCGGACCCAAGAATAATTGGCCGATCGCTCCGTCAGTGGGTCAATGGCACCGGACGATCTTTGTAGTTCCTCCCCTTTTTGGTGATTAGGCATGTAGGAAAATTCATGAAAAACGACCGATTTTTGACTCAATGATGGTCAAATCATACAATCCTTTTCCGAAAAGAATATGCGCATGAGCCGTGACCTGGAAGGAACAGAAGTTTTGCCTTTTATATGGGGTGACAACTCTCCCTTAAATTCGGCAAAAGAAACATGCTTCATGCGAGTGACAACTCTCCTTTGAATTCAGCAGCAGTGCAGCATCGTTGTCACCAAGTCACAGGAAACTGCATTAAGGAACAGAAGTTTCGCCTTTTATATGGGGTGACAACTCTCCCTTGAATTCGGCAGAAGAAACATGCTTCATGCGAGTGACAACTCTCCCTTGAATTCAGCAGCAGTGCAGCATCGTTGTCACCAAGTCACAGGAAACTGCATTAGGAACAGAAGTTTTGCCTTTTATATGGGATGACAACTCTTCCTTGAATTCGGCAGAAGAAACATGCTTCATGCGAGTGACAACTCTCCCTTGAATTCAGCAACAGTGCAGCATCGTTGTCACTAAGTCACAGGAAACTGCATTAAGGAACAGAAGTTTCGCCTTTTATATGTGGTGACAACTCTCCCTTGAATTCAGCAGCACTGCAGCATCCTTGTCACCAAGTCACAGGAAACTGCATTAAGGAACAGAAGTTTTGTCTGTTATATGGGGTGACAACTCTCCTTTGAATTCAGCAGAAGAAACATGCTTCATGTGAGTGACAACTCTCCCTTGAATTCAACAGCAGTGCAGCATCGTTGTCACCAAGTCACAGGAAACTGCATTAGGAACAGAAGTTTTGCCTTTTATATGGGGTGACAACTCTCCCTTGAATTCAGCAGCAGTGCAGAATCGTTGTCACCAAGTCACAGGAAACTGCATTAGGAACAGAAGTTTCCTCTTTTATATGGGGTGACAACTCTCCCTTGAATTCAGCAGCAGTGCAGCATCATTGTCACTAAGTCACAGGAAACTGCATTAAGGAACAGA